GCAACAACATTTTCGGTGCGGCTGGCGGTGCGGCTAGCTTGACTGTGACTTCGTAAGTGAGGGCTCACTTGACCGCAGTGTGATATCAGGGGCCAACGTAATGCTATCCAGAGGAAGTATCTGGTCAGTTTCTGACGTCTTATTCCAGGAACTTCAATTTCAGTTTCAATTTCGAAGCAGACTGTATGTTATAGTGACTCTTGCAGTTTAACTGAACTTTGTTGGACTGTTGCCTAATAGTAAGAAGGTTATTGGATACCCTATCCCCTGACCCGTTATCACTATTTAGAAATATATCAGAGTTGATATTGACAGAGTGCCGTTGTGAGGGTGTATACTGTGTATACTGTACATAGACCATGGAAATATGAAGTATCCTTTTAATAGCATCAGGAATATTATTTGAATCGTGGTTCTTACGCTTGGCAATACTTATACACACACGACGCAAAACAATGTGGGAGTTTGCACAGTGAGTCAAAGTTGGAAAAAAACCGTGTGCGATCAGCGTCTAAATGTAGCAGTGCAATTGTACATTTTGATTGCTTTATCCTGAGGTTTGTAGCTGATATAAAAAGGAGAATTTTAGAGCATTTAAAACAATTTCTTTTGAGCAGTGCAATAAGGGAATTTCTGATGATTCATTATGTTCCTTGTAAACGGACGGACAAAAACAAAAACGTGCCTAAACTTGTGCTGGCAGTAACATTTGGTGACATTTAAAGTGTAGATGGGTAAACGATGTCTCCGGACGGGAGGTGGATCCTCGTTAAAGCGCTAGCTCGTTTACAGCTAGCTTAAACGAACCAGCGCTTAACTGGCCGCGTAAATGTTTTGGCTTCCCTGATGGACACGCGGATAATCGCTCTGTGCTTTCTTGGGGTTTTTTCTTCAGCAGGTAACTCTCACTTATTTAACTGGCAAGTTTGTACTTTTACTTTTACATCACTGGGATAACTACAGGCTGTTCATGTATTTGTAAGCCCTGTATGATTTGTTTTTACCGGTGTTAAAAACCTAATGACTTCTGTGACGTAATTCTGTGGCTTCTCAACTCTTGAAGTTTACAGCGGAAACATGAAATCAATTTTTGGCGCAACACTGATAAGAAAGCAGGGAGACGAAGATTTCCAAAGCCGTTAATGGCATGATGATACTTTTAATCAGTCAGCGAGGTTATCGGCAGTAGAGCGTTTTTAGAGCTCTGCCGCCACAAAGTCACCGGCATTTACTTTGGCTGCGGACAGTAATCATGATCATCAGCTTATTTTGTCAGAGTGGTTTTTGTTTGCATCATTGTTGGCTTTATGGCGAACTGATGCGGTTAATAAGAGCGCAGTTATGGTTACACTTTAGATGGAAGGTGATATTTCAGATGGCCAGTCTATAAAACTTCCTGCTCTGGGTCCTTTGAAATTTATTAGGGTAAAAAAGATCTGACTGTAGGCTCAGAATGCTTGAAGTCCTGCTACTGAACAATAAACTAACACATTTCATTGAGAATTCAAATGTAATTTGGAGACTGTCAAATTATATAAATGTTGCTTTTTTCCCTCCCCAGAAACGCCTCAAAGCTATTGCCCATCCCCACTGATTCAGGCAGAAGAAGGTCGTAATGTCTCATTACCGTGTTATGTGGATCCCTCAGTTGACCTGTCTGCTTATACCGTGGACTGGAAACAAACTGACTTGAACGATGTGGTCTTCTCGTGGCGACACGGGCACGAAAATTATGGTGCACAGGCGGCGAGCTATAGCAGCAGAGCAACTATGAACCCCGGAGACCTTAGCAGAGGAAATCTAACCCTGCAGATCTTCTCAGCACGCCTGTCTGATAGTGGACATTACAAGTGTTTTGTGCCAAAACTGAAAACCTTTTGCATCGTTCATCTTAATGGTAAACACTCTAAATAACAAAGTTTAGTTTGATACTAAGTTTTGTCAAAAGTACCTTTATATTTGGTTTTGGAATTTGGTTAAGGAAAGAGCAGAAAAGTGACTTTCCCTTTAAATGTAAACAGTCCTAATAATATGAAGTGCAAAAGCTGTGAGGGTTTAGCTTTATTTCATGTTAACAGTTATAGCTTTGATAACACCGAGTGAACCATTGTGTCCTTGTATATTTTTATTTTGTCACAAAGGAAGCTTGAACAGCATGAATTTGACTGAATTTGGCTCATGTTGTGTTGTTTAGTACTTTTCTGTGTTGATGTTCACAGTTTCACAGCAATCTAGCTTTCCTCGAAAGCTCGAGCCCCCCTCACTAGCTGCCAGAGTGACAGGAGTGAGTCCTCATATAGGCTGAAAACAAATGAGGTTTCTATCAAAAATGAATTAGAATCCATCCTCTTCCACTTATCATTATAACTTTCCCACAGGTGTGAATGTGAGTGTGGTTTTTATTTGTTAGTCCTGTGTCAGACTGCACACCTGTCCACGATGCACGATGTCCAGGGTGCACCCTGCCAGTTGCCCTATGGTAGCTGGGATAGGTTCCAGCTCCTTGTAACTAAATTAAATAAATTAAAATAGCACTTTATTCTGTTTTGTTTTGTCCAAAGTAATTTAACATGGACTTGGAGGACACTATCAGACATGCTATCTTTTTAAAATATACATTTTCTTTGGAATATTATGTTTAGACAGTCTCATATATTTCAAATACTGAGAATTTATTTATTTTTACAGTAACCAAAGAGATTAATGTCAGGTCCAGCACAACCACATCTCCAAATCTCCACAGCACAACCACAACGCTGAAGCCAAATGATCCAGGCAAGTGACTTTGAACTTTTCTTCTTTTCACTTAATCAAGTTCAATTTAGTTTTATTTATAGTGTGAAATCACAACAGCTCAGGCTGCTTTGTATTAGCAGGTAGAGACCTTAATACAGACCTCAGCACAATACAGAGAAAAGATGTTGAATGACCTCTTTTTTTTTCTTCACAGCAGACATTTTGAGCTGATGACGAATCGTTTCTTTTTAAGTGTCCCGTTAAGTCATGAAAGTGATGCATCAAGCGTAATCGCAGAGTCCTCTGCAGCCATGCATGATACACCTCACCCCCTGTGTACTTCAAAGGGTTATAGCTCACAAAATATTAGCCTGAAGTTAATATAATATAAATGTATGTTAGGATGAAGGCAACATTTTGCAGGGTTTCAGTTACTCTGCTAGAGAACATGGAAACTTCCTTGGGGGAGCCTTCCCCAGTGTTTGAGTAGGGATCAGCTTTCTGGAATGATAAACATCTTTAAAAATAAACGAACTCTTCATTCAAACCCCAAACTTGTGGTATATTCTGAAAAATGACTCACTTTTGCATTGTTGGCTGCATGCAGTTCCTGTGAAAACTCGTGTATGAGCTAGAGAAGTGGGTTACACGTGAAGTCGTGTAGAAAGCTAGCTTCCTGTTTGGGAAGTCAAGATTTGAAAGTACCTAAGTTTTAAAGGTTAATTTTAAAACTGCTGTTGTCAGCATGCCACCAGTCACCAGACTGCACCACTCATCTTCACGGTGTTGTCAGTCACATTGTTGCAATACTTTTTCATTACATATCAGTTCAACACAATGAAAGTGAAAGGAACTGGCTTCAACACTGATTCATGATATTTGAAAAATTCCTCACCAGCAGATTTTTTGGTGTCCTGTTCCAACTGCTTTACTTTTATTTTATTTATTTTTAATTTCTTTGCATATCTGTTAGTCCTGTTAGTGCAGGCCGTAATATTGGGAAGAGAAGTCTCAGATCCTGACACAGCCGTCTGTGCTTGACCCATTTCAGCTTCCCTCCAGCCAACAACTGTTGGTTTTATACAAGGTTTTATAAAATAAATTTGAATTAAAAATGATGTAAATGTAATAATAATTCATGAGTGGCATCACATTAATTTGCCTTTTAATTTCTGATTCTTTCAGATAAACTTCTTGCCGTTCTCCTTCCTGTTGGTATCGTCTGTCTCCTGATTGTCGTTGGATTTTGTCTGAAGAAACGCGTAACGATCCGTAAGTTGATCAATTTTAGTGCAAGAATGTGTGTTTTAATAGTTAAACCTTTGATTGGAGATTACTGCTGGCAAGTCTGGTGTTTGATTATGATGAAAATCTGTCGTGGATACCAGAGGAAAACGCACTGAAACAGGAAGCAGAGAATAACAGCACAATTATACATTACACTGATATTAAATGAGTGAAGAGCACACGAACAATGTAAATAAAACACATAAGCCAAACACACAAACGTTTATTGTTCAACTTGAAATGTCTGAAGACAACTTAAGTTTCTTTTATGCTTTTTTTTTTAAAATTTTTACTCCATTTTGCATAAATTATTACAAGTGCGTCTTTCCATGTTTGTGTGCTTATCAAGGGCAATGCGTTGGGGGGAGCTGAAAGGGCAGAAACGAGGAGTGGACCGTTCAAGCCACGTTGAACTTCAGTCTTTGGAGAATTCAACACTGAAAGACGACAAGAACAAGGCTTCTTGAGAAATGAGTGAAGTACAGTGTTGTGCTTGTCTTTGATTGGCTGAGTAATCAAAATGATTTTAGATTCTCAAGCTGCTCTCATTACGTTACAGCTGGTTTAAGCACAACTTAATTCAAATTAATTACGTTGGATTGTTTTAAGCGGTTCTAAAAGCTCATCCTTGTTCCCATTTAGAGACTCATATTTGATCTGTTATTGTATTTCATATTGGAATAGTATGTGTGTGTGTGTGTGTGTGTGTGTGTGTGCACATATATGCTTGTATAGCCATTTATGTATATAAGTATATGCATAAACTGTGCCCCCCCTTCCTTCTACATGTTTGCACTGAGTAGATGCTCTGTATCTCATTGTACGTCTGTATAGTGACAATAAAGGCATTCTATTCTATATAAGTGTATGCTTACTTTATATGTGGATGTCTTGTAATATTTTAACTCATTTTATTCTTTCTTGTTTTAACTACATTGTCCCTCTGTTCAACAATTTGGCCTTGATGTCTTTTAAGTAAATTAAATGGTTACAGATCTGGGAACAATCACTGAGTGACTTACTGGTCAGAGGCAGAACAAACAATCAAACAATCTGAAATTATACTTCTGCTAAAAATCATGATGTATAAGTGTTGGTTGAATATACAGCGTCCTCCATAATGTTTTTAAGATTGTAGTTTTTTTTTGTCTATACACCAGCGCGGTGGATTTGCGTAATGTTTTTTTTTTCGTGAACGGGAAACTGCTTAAAGAAGCATATGGTCAGTTTGTCCAATCGTGTTTTAAATAAAGTTCTTTGAAAAAAATTCCGCCAAAAAGTACGTCCACCACGACGTAAGTACGCGCCACAGTCAGCCAATAAGCGTTCGGAGTCTTTCTAAAAGGCGCGAAATTCAGCTAGGATGAGGAAGTCGGGGGAGGAGCGTTGACATGTGTTCGTGTAACATGGAGGGAGAGTTGTTCTTCGGCGTGCACTGGGTAACGTGTTTTTAATTATTTTCCACCTAAATGTGAGCGTTATTTTTGTAAATGTAAATCTGCAATGTTCCTGCATGCTTCTTGGGTTTAATTGGTTGCATGTGTTACTTGAATTATTTTTTTGTTTAAAATATGATATTTTGATGGCGAGGAGGCAGATAAATATTTGCGAGGAAATCAGAGTTTCTTAATTTGTGAACTTTTGCGGTCAGCATTTTAAACTGTTATCAAAGCCTCATGTGGTAGCTTCTCCAGTAATGATGATAGTGAAGACTCTGCCAGGTTATTCAGTAAGTATTCTCTAAAAGTTTGAGATATCGAGTGGATCAGGTCAGAAGATAAAATTGGTGTTTTGAATATACTTTATTCAGCTAAGAACAGATTGTTTGGTTTTTGCACTGTTGTATAGCATTGTGCAGAAAGTCACAAACCGCTGCACAAGTTTTGGATTCTTTTGCCCCCAAGTATCTGGATTTTGTTGTAAATGTATTAAGTCATCTTGAGCAATAGTTTTATTTTAAGTGTCCCTGAAGGTCTTTCAAAAAACATTTTGGACGCTGGATTTTTTACCAGGCGTGATTGTACCGACTTATTAGCCAAGAACAGTGTCATCATCTCATCATGCTGTGCAGTGTCCTTGCAACTGGACAAATGAAGAACAAAAGAAGTGGCAGAAAGGCGCTGACTGATTTGGATCCATCTGACTTCAGCATGGCAGTGATCCCAGACACATTAGCAGTGCAGTACAACCACACAATCGGCAGCTGACGTACCAAAAAGAAATGATTGGTGGCTCAAGACTCTTGTACAGTAGGGTGTATACTGTTTTGAAAGACTCCTACACACAAAAGCGGGGTGTTGGAAGTAAGCGGCTGAGTGGGGTCAGTTATTGGTCCGGTTATCTTTTAGGAGAGGGCTGATGGGTCAGTGTGAAAACGGCACGTCCTGGAAGACTGTAAAAGTTAGTTACTGTTGCTGCGCGTACTGCTGGCGTCACTTCCTTTTGCCGGCTGCGTGATCTTGAATGAAGTCGCGCGCTCTACCGGTTTGTGAAACAAGATGAGATTTTCTGTCGCCCCACGCGACCTCCTACTCATATCATGCATAGTTGTGTTTTTTCCGTCATCTGATGGAGCTCTGAAGGGTAACTTTACTTGCACTTTGCTAGCTGTTTAGCTCGTGGGTACGAGCATTAGCAGGGCAGGCTCTTCACTTGTTGTTTTTAGGAAACGACATTTGGTGTGTGTGACCTGAGCAAACTCGCTGATTATTCTCTGGGACAGCACATAACTTCTATGTTCAAGTATAAAACGGGTCCAGGAGCAGTATTCAGCTGAAACAACTGCTGTTTTAAGGTATGAGATCGTGATCTTAATTCAAAGGTACTCAAGTTGTTGTCTCTCCCCAGAAGAACATCGAGCCATTTGCCCAGTTACGGAAATTGAAGCAAAGGAAGGTGATGATGTCACCCTCCCGTTTTATGTGGTTCCCCCTGTCAACCTGTCTGCGTTCACTGTGGACTGGTCAAGAACCAACCCGAGTGTGGTCGTCTACTCCTATCGACACCAACGGGAGTCGCATAATGCAGCGATGAATGCAGCAGTCAGACGTGAAGACCTGAACAGAGGGAATCTGACACTGTGGATCCCCTCAGTACAGATGTCCCACAGTGGACAATACACAGGCTTTGTTATGGACCTCGGGATCACGTGTAGTGTTCAACTTAATGGTAAGGACCTGAGTAATAGTTGATGTGTTGTCTGATGTACTTGATATGAATGTTATGAAGAAATTCACTTAATGATATAAAATGATCTTCCACTTGGGGAAACACAAACATAGAATAACATGATTTAAAACTAAAAATGATTTGTGTGTGTGTGTGTGTGTAAACATGAAAGTAGTCTAATTGTGGATTTGTCTGTAATGCAAACCTGTTGCTGTGATGACTTTCCAGCAACGTGATTGGTCAGGCGTATAGTCCTGATTTACCACAGCTTGAGGCTCGAGTACATGTTAGTAATGGGATGCATCCAAATCTCACAAAAGGGGTGCGTGTCTAAAACGGGACAGCAGGCAGTGAGTGACCATGCAGGTCATAGACAAGCCTAAACAAGTTGTTTCATGTCCCGACCCCAACATATACGACTTGAACCTGGACACAGCACAGCTCCAGATATGTTAATGTGGTGTGAATCCTAATGACCAGCGGTCAACAACCCCTGGGCCATAGACCAGTACTCGTCCGTGAGAGTTGAGGCTCGGTGTGACATTTATTTATTTAACTTAAATCATTTTTATTGATGACTCTGTTTCCCGTGGGTTATGAAGAAATCGTCCTTTTTTGGTACTAGTACTGGTTTATTTTTGTTGTATTTATCTGCAACACCTTAAAGGCCGGACATAAACCGGTCCATGACGCACAAAAGGTTGGGGACCACTGCTAACAAGAACGTCTCTCTCATTTTTAAACAGTAACCAAAGACAAACTGAAAAAGCCAAAGGGACATGATGGTTTCAGCACTACTGGAGCTCCTCTCAACACGACGGTGGAGAAAGTTGGTCCACGTAAGTTACTCTGAGCTCTTCTCCAGAGGATTTTGGTTGAAACACAACCTTCAAAACCTTTGAATGATTGCTCACTTTAAGTACCATTAAATCATGACAGTGAAACAGTATGCATAATAGCAGGCTCTGAATACACACATCAGTGATGAAGCTGTTCTTTTTCCTCATGTGATTTCACAAAATGTGAGATTGCTTGAGTGCATTAAGGAAATTAAAGACTGGTTGTGCCACAATTTTCTCCAGCTAAACAGAAACAAAACTGAATAGTCTTTGGAGCCAAAGAAAAACGATTACAGGTCACCAGAGAACTTCAATCTATACACCTAAAAACCACAAACCAGGCGAGAAGTTTGGGTGTAGTGATGGACGCAGACCTAAACTTAGAAAAACACATTAAGACAATAACAAAATCAGCTTACTATCACCTCAAGAATATTTCAAGGATAAAAGATCTGATGTCTCAACAGGACCTGGAAAAACTAGTCCATGCATTCATCTTTAGTAGGTTTGACTACTGTAACAGCATCTTTACAGGTCAAAAATCAGTCAGGCATCTACAGCTCATTCAGAACTCTGCTGCTCGAGTCCTCACTAAGAGCAAGAAAGTGGACGACATCAGTCCAGCTCTGAGGTCTTTACACTGGCTGCCTGTCCGTCAGAGGATAGACTTTAAAGTTCTGATGCTGGTCTATAAAGCTCTGAATGGTTTAGACCCAAAGTACATCAGTGACCTCCTGACCCAGTATGAACCTTCCAGATCCCTCAGGTCATCTGGATCCGGTCTTTTATCAGTTCCCAGAGTCAGAACCAGACACGGAGAAGCTGCATTCAGCTTTTATGCTTCATATATCTGGAACAAACTCCCAGAAAGCCTCAGATCAGCTGAAACACTCAGTTTATTTAAATCCAGGTTGAAGGTCGTATTCTCAGCTGCATTTGAATAAAACACTAAATCCACACTGTTTTACTTTTAAGTTTAAATTTCAAAACTTGCATTTTAACTATCGATTTTATCTACTGTTCCTGTTTTTCATTTTAAATCATTTTATTTGTTTTTGTTTTTTAATGTCTCTGTAAAGCACTTTGAATCACCTTGTTGTTGAATTGTGGTATATAAATAAACTCTCCTTGCGTAGTGTGAATATTTGTGTTACTGATATTTTTGCCCAGCAAGGCCATGAAGTTCAGGTTCATTCACACCTGATCTGTGGGGTATCCTTAAAATGACCTGTTTAAATTTTAGGCTGCTGTGCATTATGTCAGTCTGTAACCTATCTGGACTGCCTGGGTTTGAAAACAAGTATTCACTTAGATTTCTGTGGTCTAGGCAATCCAGTACTGGGTGAAAATGAACCACGCTCTTAGGTTTTCTCACTTTTTGCTCTAAACCAGGGGTGGGGAACTCCTGGCCTCATGCAGGTTTGATATCACCCTGGGTCAACACACCTGAATCAAATGATTAGTTCATTCCCAGGCCTCTAGAGAACGTGGAGACATGTTGAGGAGGCATTTTGGCCATTTGAATCCGCTGTGATGGATCAAGGACGCATCTAAAACCTGCAGGACAGGCCTGGAGTTCCCACCCTTGCTGTAAACACAAGCATTATAACTTGTTGCTGATTTTTAAACTTCAAACATCAGATGGTTAGAAAAATACTGAAGCCCAGGATCAGTACATGAAATTTGTGTGGTTGATTAAACCAGGTCCAAAATGCAGCATAATTGAGTTAAGTGCATCAAAAAAAACAAAACAAAAAAAAAAACTGGTGCGTTAGTTGCTGCATTTGATAGTCTGTTAAAAATGACCTCATTTAAATTGAGGTATCCACATCACGCGTGGTAATCTGAACTCTTAGAGTCAAGGCAGAAGTGACAGAAATCTCAACTCCCGACCAATGAGAGCATCTGTGGTTTGATCTTCCCTTCACCGCAGGACTTAGTTTGTCATGTGGATATATTAAAGAATGATGTTGGAATAAACTGACCCTTATTTTCAATTTCTGACTTCTAGGTGGTGACACTGGGATCATTGGGATTGCTCTTTCTTGCGGCGTCGCTCTTCTCTTGATTGTTCTTGTTCTGGGATTGCTTGGAAAGCTCAGTAAGCTGGTGGTCAGTCTAACGGTCAACCTCTCAGTTAGGCATTACTTTTGTCAGCAAGCTGGATGATGATGAAACCTGATGCAACTCTTCATTGAGCTTAAATCAAAGGTCATATAAATGTTCCTAAATAAAATCATGCTTGCTTGTTTTTGGATCCAGACTTTATCTCTGCCATCGTTTTCAGTGTGCTGTAGGATCCTCACATCCTACATTCTCATCAATGTAGAATGTGTTATAATCATTACTGTATATTTACATTTCCACCATGAAAATAATTGATGTAGTGTTTTGTTTTTTTTTTCCTTTCTAGTAAAACCTTTTTTTAGGTTTCTTAATTTAAAAGAAAAAAAACCTTTTGTCTTGATGCATTCTCAATATTTTAGGAAAGTAAATCTCCAAAAGTTGATTGTGTTCATCTGGACGTAGCGTTTTCAGTGGGAGAAACTGTCTCAGCTGACTGCAGGTTTCCCCAATCTTATAAACGGTACATGGAAAGACAATCTCTGAATCGAGGAGGGGGCCTAAGGGTTCATCTTTCACCATCTTACAATGCTGTGATTGCAGCCATTCCCCAACTCTCTGTGAATGGTACTCATGGTCTTTGATCAGTGGTTGTTGATCAATGGTCATGAGAATTTGCATAATTAAGATTAAGGAACGTGACCTCCCAGCCCATTGTTCC